TTCATTTACTTATTACATTTTGAATAGTTTCTTTCATTTTGGTACGTTTTTAGATCGTAGAAAATAACATTTTTAGTCAAAACGAGTTATTAACTTTTTATTTTATACTTTAAATTTAAACTTGTGCTCTAAATACACATTAATTAAAAAACATTTTTGAAACTTTTTTTTCTATTCACATGAATTAGTTTTTCTTTTCAGCAACTTGAGTTTTTCTCCAATTAACGAAAAAGTATAATCTCTCATTTAATATGTTTAAAATTCTTCCAATTAATATTTTATATCAGAAAAAAAGTTCGTCAGTATCGTTCCATCGAATCTACTAATTGGATACTAACCTATCTACAGCGTTTTCCTACCTAAATATTTAAAATTTAATTTCAATCATCGAACAAAAATTTGCTCAGAAGCTTATCAGCCATTATCCTTGCATGTTGAATGAATTAACCATCTTTGACCTTCCACTGACCGTTTTACCGTTAAGAATTAGATTATCGTGAGTTCTTTAAACATTTTGAAGAGGTGTTTATAAAAAAAAAATTTAAAAAATTCCATTAATTAAAAAGTACATATGTTCACAAGCTCTTACAAAGACTCATTTAAAAACTGTTAACGAAAAAATTAGTTTGTACCATTGAAGTTGAAATTTCAATAGTAGTTATGTTTGAGTAAAATTCGCAGTGAACGATTCATTTGATTCTAATAGTGAATGAATAAGTTGATTGAATGCATTCTTTATTGCTACACAATATGTCATAAAATTTTTAAAAGTTGAATTGGTAAGTCTTAACCACCAGAAATTAAAAATTACCAACAAATAAATAGGTAAGGTGAAATGAAATTAGTATTTTACATTTGTATGTAGTGGATACAATAGGTATGGTACAATGGAATTGTTATTCCATAAGTGTATGTAGTGAACACAAAATGAAATTTTAATACTCGATAAATAAGAGAAATTTAAAAAATAAAATTTCTTGTTATTATCAATATTAATTGTTATCAATATTTAATAATGACAAGGGACTTAAATTTTGTTTATTGAAAAACTACTATTGGATTTCAGCAATAAGTGGCTACTTAGATTTTAATTGTGAATAAGCAAGAGGAATGAATATGTTACGGATTTCCTCTTTATAAAACAGGGGAGAGAATACATATCAACAAGTTCGCTAATTTTAAATATTAATAAGAATATATTTTCCCACTCATCATTTGGGTCGTCATGTTGGTTGATAAATTCAAAAAACAGAAGAAAAAAAACCAATGAAGAGAGGGCTTCGTCAACACCTCAGGAAAGAAGGCTTAACATATGATTAGCGCAGTAGCTATGACGTCATGAACTGTGGGCCATGAAAACCGTCTGCCTTTTCTGCTGTCATCTTAAAGAGTATAGGCTGAAGCCGAATCGTTATTTAATACAATGCAATTTATAAAACTATAACTAACGAAGTATAACTGTTTGATGAAATAAATTGAAAGTGGTGAGAAAATGCATCTATCATACTATTCTGATTTTATAAAAGTATAACTTTAATATAGAAAGAAATTGATTTTGTAAATTCCTTATCTTTAATTTAGTTAACACACAAAGTTCCTCATTTAAAAAATCTTGATGTGTTTATAGGGCTGTTTGAGTTGAATAAATAAGATGTTATGTTTCGCTTCGATTGTAAGAATTATGTACTCTGCAAATAAAAAAAAATCCTCGTGAATTTTTAAAATGTTACGTATTAAAATGCATGAATCACTTAAAACCTCTGGTGAAAAATCTGCACGCATAAATAAATAAATATCTTGCACGATATAAAAAAAATAAAACGAATAAAGGATTCTTAATTTTAAAAAAAGTGGTGCATGTATGTAACTACATTTATATTTAAAAATAAATAAATTAATGATTTATAATTAATCATAATCTCAAATGTTTTTAAAGAAATAGCAAAACATTAAAAAAAAATTCTTATTTAATAATATATCCCTGTTTTCATATACAGATAGACGTCTCATCAAAATTTGAAACAAAAATCTCTAAATTGTTGTTTGGGAAAAATTATGCAGCACAATTAAGATAGTTACATTTTTTTCCAAATGTTCTGACAGTATCAAATTCTATTCTTTCATAAGATAAAAAAATTCTACGACAAAAAACAGATCAGATATGTAAAATTATAGCAATGAAAAATATATAAACAAAATGTATTTTCTTATTAAAATATTATTTCCCATTTGTTCCAAACATATAATACAGTAAAAAGATATAAATTCTATATTTTATGCATCTATGCACTAAGCGTATTAAAATTTTATTTATTACTAATTTTTAAAATATAAATTTTTTCACGCTTAAAATTTTATTTTTGTACGAATAATTTAGCAATGAATTTGTGTAGTAATGGAACAAAATAAAATGAGAATGTTTGCTATCTGACAAGAGAGTTTTAACATTTAAGTTAGGGGGACTCTTTTATTTCAGTCTTTTGAAGTTAGTTCATTGTTAGTTTTAGAGTAAATAATTTAAGCCTTACATTGTTCTAGAAATATTCAAATTGAAAACATGCTTAAAGCGGCTTTTTTCTTTTTGGTGGCTTTTTCAATTAAAAGTGTAAAGACAGATATTGAATCTGTGTTTTAAAATATAGATTAAATTGTAAATAAAGCATTTCGTGTCAACTGTCCTCTCTTCTTCATTCATAATTTATTTAAAATTATCCTTTAAGCTACAAGTAATTATTTTCAGATTTCTTATCAAATTTATAGACATTAATTCGAAAATATATGACGTACGCGTGTTAAATCAATTTGCGGTCAAATAATGTTCAAAAGAGTATTCATTTTGTTGCCTTTAAATTAATAAACATGAAATGTTACAAAATCTTACAGAATCTATAGAAAAAAAATAGTATAAAAATATGTCTCTGTTTTTTTTTCCTAAAGATTTTCTTTGCATGTGTTTTAAAAAACTTGTTTTATATATGTACTTCAAGCTTGGTATTAAATAAAATCGTTGAAATATGTTTGGGAATAGTGTAAAGCACTAACTGTGTATTTCATATGTCGTTTTATCAGAGTACATTTCTCTTCTATATATATATATATATATAAGTTAGATAGTTAAGCTTTATAATTTTGCTAAAATATTACATTTTTTTAAAAAAAAAATATTGCATATTATAAGTTTTATAGTGCGCGACACTATTATCCCATTCGACTTTAAAACTAAAATTCTAAGTTCAATGAATATAAAATTATCTATTTTAACAAATAAACTGCAGCTTTTAATTAAAAATAAAATGTTAAATCGTAATTTATTTCTCAAAAAATGGAAACTTTTAAATTTTTTTTTCTAAATAAATTTCATAATAATCTGTAAAAATCTACTCTTAAAATTTTAATAGAATATTCAAATTTAATTTTAATTCCTAGCTAAATTTGAAAATTCCGTTCAAGTGTCAAATGTATGATCAAAATCTCCCTCGTTTGGAAACTAGCGTTTTACAAAACGCTTAGAAAAATTTCCTTTTCCATGCTAAAAGTAAACTACAATTTTTTGAATGATGTTAAATGTTGTAGTAAAAATATAAAACTTAACTCTCCTGCTTTTATACACTGGTTATCATAAATTAAGGAAAAATCACAAAAATAGCGATAACTCTTTCAAAAGTAAGCCAAACCGTGCAAAATTTGCATATGTTGTCCACTAAGAGTAGCTGAGTAAAATTGCAATATGCAAATTAGTGGCGCTGCACTCGGCTTACGTCATCTNTATATATATATAGCTTCGACATAGTTACACATTAATTGTAATATTTAAGGTAAATTTTAGGCATCGTATTGTTATGTCTCATATGTATGTCATATTTACTCTCGCATGATGGTACAAAGTGGAAAAGTTTGGCTGAGCAAAAGATAGCGAACCAGTACTATGTCAATATATATGTTAATTGGAAACATTCAACATAAAATTTAACGATAGAAAGCTTAGTCTCAGTATCTTTTTCATTTAGTCTATTATTGTTCGATGTTCGTTCAGTTTCATTCTTCAATATATCATGATATCCATTTAATATAGTGCACTGCATTTTTTCAAATACTCGCACTTAAAATCATCTGAAGTACTCGTGCAATATTTATGAGGCATTTCATAAAGGTTTAACAGCAGAATTTTAAATAGCAGTCTTTAATGTACGTATTAAAAAAGTTATATTAAAATTCGTTTATAATGTCATTTGCGCTTAAAATTTTTTTTTATTGTTGGAAAGCTAGTGTTTTGTTTTAGAACAATATAACATTTAACAATACATTAAATTCTATAAGACATTGCATGTTGACTCAGGTCATCATACAATTATTTTATAGGAAATTGAAAAAAAATAAAATCAGTAGAATAATGGAAGAGAAATAATGAAACATATGCTAATGAAAATATATCATAGGAATTATATAAGTAGAATGAGTAGAAAATATGCATATTTTTATAAATACACATATTTTAACACATTTCACATTTAAAAACTAAATAGTACAGAAAATATATGAAAAAATGTCACCTTATCTACCAGGACGAAATAAGACAAATCTTAAATTGAAGTTTTATTTCTCGGGCACTATTTGAACTTAGATAATCGTCTGAACTAATTTATTGGCGTAGTTAAAGCCAATCTTTCAGATTTCAGATTCGATTTCAGATTACATCGCTACAGGGGAAAATCCTACGATGAAATCAAGAGGTTTTTAAGGTAATTTTTTCTCACCATGTAGTACGCAATTTTGACCCGACATTTCTCGTTTTGTATTGCAGTAATGTTCCCTTTATAGAGATAATTTCTTTTTGAAAACTATTTTAAAGAGATAAACAATTGTCAGGAATCTCCTTATTACAAAATATTTGATACTCTGTAATTTTCTCAATTGTTTTTTCTTGTTTTTTTAAAGAATGATATAATATATACTATCCACAAAATTTTGTATTTCTAACAATGTATCTCTTGCTTCAAAAGGTCGGCCTGATTCTCCTAACAATATCACAATACTAAACATCACCAGCAGATCTGTAACCCTTCAGTGGGAGGTAACTCATAACGGTAACAGTCATATTACCGGAAGTATTGTTCAGTATCAGCAAATTTCTGGTAAGTATATGTTTCTCTTAACTGATTTCAAATTTCAAATCATGATTTAAAAATACATATAACCTTCATACATACATACCTTCAAAACTCTCATTTTAAAAAATTTTAATATGGAGAAGGTTCATAATTTTAACTAATTCCATCAAAAATGTGTTAAATTCGAAAATAAGTTATATATTAATAAGTTATATATAAAAATAATAATAATTAAAAAAGTTCGAAAGGAAGTTTTATTAATAAATTACGAATTGCTGCATGCATCTTTTTTGTCATGGATATACTTTTTACACAGTTTATACTTTTTACACTGAAGTTTTTAGAATTATATATCTATAATACGTTCCTTTCGACAAAATATGTATGCAGTGAAAAAAATATTCATTTTCTCACTTTTGTTAATGGTTAATATATATTTTTTAAGATTTAGTTATTCAACTAATAGTTAATATAGTTTAGAAATAAAGTATATAAATAGCATATATTTAACAATTATTAACTGTGATAACATGTTTTTAACTATAGTTTGATTATTTTTTTTTTCTCTAAATATCCGTCAATGCTACTATTTTTACGTAGAAAAAAATTTCACTATTATTCCAGATTACACATTAAATATGTAAACAACTTACGTTTAAAAGTTGTTGAGATGTACAAATGCTTGCACATGAAGAAGAAATGAAAAAGAAATGTATTTAATAAATATCAATTATTTTTTTTTTAAATTTTGCGTGCGCATAACTCATAAGCAACCTGTGTCAAAAATAAGTTTGCTATCTAAACTGCATTTTGTGTATGGATCTTCCATTTCCTTTATCCGAAGATCTTTTGCCCATTTGCGCATGCTTCGGGCCTGCTTCAAAGTCATCGAAATAGGTTTGAGATAAACGAAAAGAAAATGGGTTGTTTACAATTAAGAGCGTCACGTTTAAACGCACTTAAGATTGAGCAGAACGGCTTCAGAAAGATCACATTTCAACGTATCTCCCCTTTTTGGAAATAGAATCGTCTCGGTTGACTGTTTTTGCTTCATAAAACATACATAAGCCGTAACTGCAACTTACAGTAAGGGTAACTACCTGCAACCTATATTACCCTTTGCAAGATTGTTCATACCATTCCACTGTTTTCACTTAGTTAAGTAGGACTTTAATGGCACTTTATGTGGATGGAGTAAAAATCGGTTCATATTTTGTGAATTTCAGAATTTCAATTTTATTCATTTTTATTTGATAGATAAGAGGTTATGCTTCCATTTAAAAATGAAACAAATTCGCTCTTTAAAAATAAGTAATCTATCCCGACGAACATGAAATTTTAAATTTTAATTTTGAAGAAAAATACACGCATTTTGCATTTTCCCTTTTTTATATTCAACATATTTCTCATAAAAATGCGCTTACAACATTATNTGTTGTTGACGTATGCCTATTTGGGCAGAGGGGTGCGATTGTTCTTGTTTTCCAGTGGCGCCATCTATGGCCAAGAATTCGACTTCTGCCACTCCAAACGTCTCACCCGTTTACAGAGCGGACCCATTCATACATCGATTCCTCATCCACAGATCGTAATTTTGACCTGGATCAGAGAACGATCGATCTCCAATCCAGTATCCCCAGAGGTATTGATATGTTCTGGGAACATGGAGAACTTTCGCGACTCGACAGATTTAACGTATATATATGGAGAAACATACTGAAATATTTAAAATTTTCTTATTCTGGATCTCGAATGTACTTTTAGATTAATTGATTTTTTTTAATCTTTAAAAAATGTAACTAAATCAATTTATGTGAGTCTAATGTATTGCCCTTGTATTTTGTTTCTTCTACCTAGACAGCAGTTGGAATGGACAAACATCACAACTTATAGTATCTGGTTCAGATACAAGTGCCACCTTAAGGGCCCTTTCCCCAGTCACGCTGTATTTCATAAGAATAGTGGCTCAGAATGCGTTGGGACAAAGTGACCCTAGTGACACCATTAATGTTACTACTGCTGAAGAAGGCAAGTTCCATGCTTTGACAACTTTTAAATTTTGCAATTTTTTTTAGTAGTTTAGTGCTCAAAAAAATCATGTGTCTGTACTATGTTTGTGCCCAATATGAAACAAAATTTATTACAAAACATTTTCAAAACAATTAATTTATAACTTTATATTGAAGCAATTTACTTATTAAGTAATTTACAAAAAAAATCCACAGAAAGATTTTTTTAACTGTTAAAATAAATTTGCCTAAAAGAAAATGTAAAAAATTCAAAATGGGACAGATAAGTGCTTTAAATCTGCATTTTTTTTAATCTGCTAAGGGGGGTGTACTAAAGTGAAAGACTTTCCGTTTAACCTAATGAAAATGCTTAACATTAAGTTAAGATGTTGAACATAACGCTTCTACATATTTACAAGTTGTAAATTTAGTATAACATCATAAATGAATGAAAAAAAACTTATCCGACCTTACATCCAAATTGAAATACTTTCATACAAAATGATGATCATGAATATAAAAGTTAACTAACTAACATAAATATAAAGGTCAACTATAAAGCTTAACTTAAACTATTAAAAACATATAACTTCCGTTGATAAAAACTTTGTATCGTTTGTTTCGAATTAGATTTTGAAAAGTTCTGCAAAAGTTAATTTAGTCAAAGATCAGTAAAAAAATCAAATTTATTTTGGTGCAAAATCATGAAATAGTATTTAGCATACTTATTTAAACAACTTTAAAAATAAAATTTTTACAAAAAATTAGTTCAATTATTAGATACACGTATTTTGTATTATGCTGTATGTTTGATCAAATGATTTATATTTTCTAATTGTAACCTTTATTAAAAGCACAAATGTATTATTTTAGATAAATTAGACAATATTCTATACATAAATTTAATTTTAAATGCTTTTTAATTTGTTAGACTTTACTCATAATATTTTACGCTAATTTAGCACCGTCTGGAACACCAAGAGAAGTGCAAGTTCATTCTACGGGAGCTCAATCAATGAAAGTCTCATGGAAGGTAAATGTTTTCAGCTTTTAACTCCCAAAGATTATCTTTATAAGACATATTTAAGTTATTGTGCGAAATAATATTGTTTTTAATAGCACTGATTCTAATTTTGGATTACACCGATTCTTCGAAGAATGGATCGGAAATGCGCGAGAAATTCTTCCTATACTACTTTTAAACTCCTTCTAAAAAGTCTTATAATTAACATGTTTTTTTTTTGTACTTAATAAGGAATATTTTCTTAGACCTTTAATAAGTTAAAGAGTGTAAACTAAAAATTTACCAACATGTGATGCTGCTGAATGAAAAAACTATCAAACAATTGATTTTTTTTTCTGTATTTCAAACCATTCTAACTGGAATATTTATAGGGCAGCACTTAATCTCGTCTATGGATTAATTCACTGTGTCACTGCAAACTGTAATAACTTTGAAAACGATGTTTATTTGCTTTTTCATTTACAAATTTCGAAAATAATTTTAAAATTGCCGTGAGAACAAATCTCTCATTTGTTAAGCAGAACGCAGAAAACTATGCATTGCTATCTCTATACGTTTTTAATTGATTTTTTGACTTGTCACATCCATAATATCATTAAAAAGGAAGTGAAAATTTTGATAAACTGATTTTTCAACGGAAATGGTGTAGTGATCTTTCTCTTGTCGTAATAATATAATGTAACCACCATTGAACATCCTGCCCAATTTTTGGTTACGACTAATAATGTTATCTCCATAGCTTTGTAATTTCGATCCCGATCCGGAAAACAAGGAAACTCCTGGCTTACGCATTGGGGAAAATTTGCCTTCGTGGAGGACTTTTTGTAAAGCTAACCCGTGTTTGAGTTACAAGGAAAGGAAAATCACCAAAACCTCTTTGTAAGTCTGAGAGCAAGGGGACTTGAATCCATGATCCGTTGATCACTGAGGATATTTAACGTCATCACTGCGGGCGGTGTGAGCTTGGTGCGGAATTCGTATCGAACAGCCATTGCTGGGATTCGAACTCGCTTCACCTCATCCCCTGATCCACCACGGCTCGTTATTTGTCATAGAAAAAAAAGGAATTCCATTAAAAAAAACTAGATTTAATAGAATTCCTTTTTTTTGTTCTGTTAAACCTTTGAAAGAAAAATACGTACTATATCCCTAGTATTGATTTTTCTCTCAAGAGTATTTAAATTCTTAAAAGTGATAAATTAGCAGTAAAGTTTAGTGAAAATGATAATAAAAAATCATGAAAATAGAGCTTCTTCAAAGTACGAAATTATTAGAGATAATTAAATTGCAACTCGTTTATGCAATCTTATTTCTCAACACGACGTAACTATACTCGCTCATTGTTCAACTTCAAGCAATAATCTAAGTTCATTTTCCACCGATGGAGAAATCAAAGGTCTCATTTGAGCCACTTAATATGTTACGTAATTAAAAAGATTATTGCATTTCAAAAGCCTAAGCATGAATGAACAAACTACTCCCCATTGTTGTTATAGCTTATAATGTTTGATATGTGTCGAAATTTGAGATGCTCCATATTGAAGTAATATTTTGATAAACAAAACCTAGAAATATCTAAATTCCATACTTCTTCCTCCGCCATTTTGGGGAAAAGTTTCTCCATTCTCCAATATCATTATTGAAATTTTCTCTGAAAATCAAAGTGCACTGAAATTTAGCATACATTTAAGGATGGCTTTAGAATGCATATTATCACTAAGAATAAACAGTTAATAGCATTTTTCTGACTATAAAAGAACTTATTGACAAATAATAATACAAATGACTGACAGAACAAATATAAACGTAATGTTTTTTAAACAAAATATTTTAATAAAGAATCATATATTATTAGGTAAGTAGAGCAAAAGACCCTCCAATTAAAATGCAAGGAATATTTCGTATATATTTGTGCTAAAGCCGTGAAAGTAACTGAATATTAAATAAAACTTTTCTATGCACACTTGCAAATTTACATCTTGAAGAAGTAAAAACAATAGTCTCAAAGACAGAAATTATCAACATTAAATAAAAATTATAATAATTAAGCACTGCTGCAAACTAAGCATTTACAAAAGTAAAAACTACATTATTCATAAAATGCTTAATATTAGCTGCTAATTAACAGAAATAAAAAAATAGAACAATCTCATCCAAGTTTATGTAAAAAAAATGGTTTAAAATTTCCCAAGTTTACTTTGCTGCAAACAAGCGGTAAAGTTAATCATCTTCAAACTGCTCTATATAACTTAAACTATTGAAATAATCATTATTTCCAAACTTAGAAAGAAATTAGCGCAATTTACAAAAGCAACAAGCAATGCAGATATTGCGATCTATTATTTCTAAAAACAAGGTTTGTGTGACATTTTGAAATAACAGGTAATATAACTGTTATCTATAATGAAATTAAGCACTTCAAAATCCAAAAATATGTCAACCATTTGTTTCAACAAGCCAATTTTAAATTTTCAGACATTTTTTTCATTTAGATTCCTCATTAATTGATTTCTAATTTTTATTCATTATTTTTTTATTGTTTGTAAGCATTTTAATTATCCTTATATTATTGTTAGGCATATAAGTTAAATCTGTAGAATATATATAACAGATCAATTTAGAGTTACTAGATTTGGAGAAAATGGCGATTTTTACAAGCACTCACCAAATGGAAGAGGCCATTGAAAATAGTTAGCTCCAAAATGGCGGATTAATTTAGTCTTTCAATAAATGGACCTAAGTAAAATAATTCAAAGTGTTTGTAGAAGATTTTCTTGGATATTAAAAACAATTGTTGCTTACTCAAAATTCGACGAAATAATTCTAAATACAATTCTATTAATGTTGAGAATTAAATATATTTATTCGATGCTTTCAATGAATATTTAAAATGTTTTCAAGCATAAAACAATTCACTTGAGATTCAATACATTTCTTTTTCTACTATGAATTAGATGTAAGATATATGTTGAAAGGTAAATTGAAACAATTCTTGTTGTTTTCTTATCTTTCAGTTCGAAGGAACTAAGTATTCATATATCAATTTATATTTATATTCTTAAGAAATCTATGAATAAGATCTATGAAATTACCTGTCAAGCATCATCTCTAGAGAAAAAAATAATAAAATTTTCTTCGGAGAAGGAAAATACATAAAGAATAAACTCAGTTTACATTCATTATTAACGATAAGTTTGTTAAATTTCTTTTTTCACTTATCATTGAAAAGTATATTATATACAATAGTTGCTAGTAGTTATTCGTTTGTTCCACCGTTTCTATTGTTAAAACAATGGAAAGATTTAAGTTACATTTGCTATGTATCTTCAAAGATAATTACACAAACCGAATCTTAAGAGCTGTAAAAAAATATGCTAAATTTACAGAAAAAAAACTGTCAGCTGTGCAAATATAAAACCGTTTATTTCACACAAAAATATACTGTTATTTGCAAACGGACGTTTTTCTATACAGATAAGTACTGTTATTCCATCAAACTTGTTTATTTTAACATAAGAACTCTGTTATTGTACCAAAACTCTCTATGGAATAACCACGGCAATATAGTGGTAGATGCGATGCGGGAAAAAAAATTCGCATGACCAGACAACAACAGGATTTGAATCAGATTACCTAATTTGGAGGCAAGTGCACTGTCATCTGAACCACGGCAACTCTAGTGTTTGGTTATAAGCAGGAATCTTAATATATTTTTAAGTTAAAAACCTAACTTATTTAAATCATATTTAAGTATTAAAACATATAAACTATATTGACACCCCTTTATAAAATTGTCTGGCAAATTAACTAATCAAAGAATAGTATCTAAAGACAGGTAGTAATCAGGTAGAGTATCCAGTCGGTAATGGAGTCTTACCGTATTTTTACTTATATGAAGTTCAGAAACATGAATTCAGAAAAAGAGCAAGTATAGTAAATAATCGGAAAATGAATTGCAAGACGGATAAAGCAATTTTACGCTAAGCAAAACTGTAAAGCTACAGTTTTAATCCACTTGTAATAAGGGTGAAAAACGGATGAAAATTGTTTTGTTAGAAACAACTTTGATCCCTTAAATGTACAGCGAAAATCTGTAAAAAAAATTAATAAATAAAAAGGAGCAATTTATGTAGCACTTGGGTAATGATGAAAAAAATTATATTTATTGTTAAGAGTATTTTTCTGAGAAAAATATGTTTTTTTTCTATAGAATTTTTAGTTGATTTTTACAGTGGAATCGGATTTTCACATGCTGAAATGTTTTATACTAACTTTCAGTATCAATTCCAAAATTGCTAGGTTCTATGGTGAAAAATAAGTTAGAAGTTTGGCTGACATTGAAAAGCAACTACTTGTGATACAGCATACAGATTATACTTAGAAGGAATTAATTAGAATTATCAAGAAATATGTAGGAAACAGGACAGAAGAAGGAAAACATAACCGAACTAACCGAACAAATGGTTCTTATCCCATGCTCTAATGTATCATAATAAAATAACCAAATTTTACCCCATTTAACAAAATTGATCACATATTATAAAACCATATTCTACTATTAATTTTACCAGAATCATTACCAAGGCTGGTCTGTAAAAATAACCGAGCTCTTGCATCTTCCTATACAAACAGAAACACGACAAATTTGAACATATTTAGATGGTTTTACCAAAAGATCCAGAATTATGTTTTGAAAGACTGTTTCGCGTCACTAGCGAAAAGCTTTTATTCGTCATGAAAAAAAGTATGAGAAAAAGCATAGTTGTACTGTTTCACTACCTTCTGGGACACTTTGCTGTAGACAAGGCTATGTCTAAAATCAAGGAGCTGTATTGGTTTCCTGCTATGAAGAGATATTTTCACCGCCATATATCGACGTGCTTCGAATTTTTGGTCAATAAAGTTCTAAGTGGGAAGAAAAAAGGTCTTCTTCATCCTTTTCTTCAGAAAAAAATGCCATTTGCGACAGTACATCTTGATCATTTAGGTACCTTTGTAAACAATTCCAAAATGAGTGAAGACTTACTTATCATTATTGATAAGATGACAAGATTTGTAAGCCCCGATACCGTGAAAAACACCTCGTCAAATTATGTTTTGAAATCAGTGAAGAATTTCGTTACGGATTTTAGATTACCGAATCACTTTATATCAGATAGGGGTTTCTGTTTAACTTCACGTGATTTTTAGAGGTTTCGCAATGAAATGAAAATGTCATCTTACACATATTGAGTTCTACTTCCCATCCACAAACAAATGGAATGGTTGAAAGAACAAATAGAACGATATTGTCCACATTGTAACGTCGATCAAAGAAAACCGAGCAAAAGGATTGCGACAACGTGATTAAGAAAGTAGAAAGAGATTTCAACAACACAGTGGTCAAAACTCTTGGAAAAACACCCCTTGAAATTCTTCATGGTCAAATACCAGGTTAATATTGATTTAAGGATGGAATTGTTGCAGAAGAGAGTGCAGTACTGAATGATCCAGGGAAGAGACAACTCGAAACAAGATAAAAAATATTGATAAAAGAGCACGAGGAAATTGAAGCATATTGCGACAAAAGGAAATCGGGTACACTATCGTTCGATGAGGGGGCAATCGTTGTAGTTAGAAGACACCCAAGAGCAGTCTCCCTCGGGCGTCTTCTAACTGCGGCCAACAAAAATAGCAGGGAGCAGCCAACATAGCCAATTGAAAATTCAATCATATAAAATTGAAATTGAATTAAGGGGAATTGCGTAAAGAAAGAATTACATATTAATGCTAGAATTAGTTTAAAACGATAAATGAAAATTAACAAAAGAAACTTCTTATTTTTATATCATAATTAAAAATTAACAAATACAATATCGAGTAGTTTTTTTAATAATTAATTACACAATTATTAAAACTGAGCTGAGCAGCATATTGATATACATTCCAAAACTTTTACAGCCACCCCCTGAAGAGTCGTCACATGGATACATACGAGGTTATTACATCGGCTATAGAATTTCAGGGTCACCTGAATCCTACACATTTAAGCAGGTAGAGAGAACAACTGACGATGATCAGACTCAATCAACCTACATCACTGGACTGCAACCATTTACCAAGTATGATATCGTGATGAAAGCCTTTAATTCTGCAGGTACAGGACCAAAATCAGCTAAAATCGTTGGCAAGACCCTGGAAACAGGTAATTAAAAATACACAAGCTTTTGCTAATTTAAAATACAATGTAAAAATATTTTTAATTAAAACAATTTTCCATTCCTCTCGCTAATGTGTAACGTTTACGCATTTTTTTTTCTTAATACGAAGTAAATTGTATATAAAGATATTTATATTTATTACCGGTGTTGGAAAATCTACCTAATTCTGAGTTTTCGACTACCGATATTCAATTCCACAGCCTTGTAAGTTTGAACCGGACTAGGAAGACAAAGGAACTCCTGGATAAAGCCTTATGAGAAACCTGCTTTCATGAAGAACTTTTCAATGGATCAATCATGTATTTGTGTTACATGGAGGGAAAAATGATTAGTTAGCTCAAGGCAAGGAGACTCTAACAAATTTTTCTACTGCTGGGTATATTTTAAGTCAGTACTGTGGTCTGTGAGAGCAGGGGGCAGAATTCATATCGACCAACCATCGCTGGCATTCGAACCTGGATCACCTCATTGGGAAGTGAGTGCTCTATCCCATGAGTCACAATTTGCCATAAAATTTAATATCTGAAAACAGTTCACTTTAGGTCCTGTAAGCTTATAAACTTATAAAAACAATTGTAGTGACGTTTGGTGACATAATGCTTATAAAAAGGGAATCTAATGATTCTAAAAAGTAATTCTAATAAGTTTTTTTTCTTTTTTTTAAAAAAATTCGGTGACATTTCCATCTAAAAGTGATTTCTGCAAAATGAAAAAAAAAATCAGAAAATTGGAAAATTGAAGTAGAGCAAGAAAAATAAGGTCACCCAAAAATATTGCTTTCATAAAACTGTAAAACCATTCAGATATCAGACGTTTAATATCAGTTTTTTATCTATTTATTTTATGAACTTGATTGTTTTAAAACTACAATTTATCTCAGGGATGAATCATAATTGTGCACAGCAATAATAAAAAAGATTGTTTTTTTTCTAATTCATTTAATTGGAGAGAAATGAAACACTTCTGCATGAATTTTATGGAAATTTTAGAACTAATGACTATTTCAATGTTGATTTCTTTTCAGCTCCACCAACTTCCCCTGCAGTTACAGTTATTGGATCAACAAAGACATCTATTGAAATTAAATGGGAAAAAGATATCAAAGACAAGTCAGCCATAACAGGTAACACTTACTTTTTTCAATCAATAGTAACCACAATATTATCAATAACATAAAAAAATATTGTGGCAAAACAAAATTTCTTTAATAAGAATATTTGCTTTTTATTCATTTACCAACTTAAAAATGCGACTTTATTCCAAAGGAAACGTCGGAAAAATAAATTTTGTACGATGTAGCCGCTAAACAATTTTATTAGTTTTATATTGTGTACGCTGCGAAATATTGCAAAATTGTATATATATCCAGAAGTTGCATAAACCAAAATATTGAAAAGAAATATTACAAATATATTTTTTTTATCTTCACAAAACTGCGGTTTTCTTTATAACAACATTTTGGGGTATTTTTTATGTATTATAGAGACTGGCTAAAAATAACAATATATAAGTTGGCATGTAAATTGATACAAAATATTTACCAGATAAATCAAAAACTGCTCAATATTCACTAAAACGTGCTATTTCATATGACGGCAGTGAATAGAAAATCAGATAGAAAAATTTCAAACGTTTGGAAGTAATACGCCAATGTTTGTCCATAAAGAAATTTTATGGTTGGTTGGTGCTAATGCCACTTGCCACACGGGCAAGCCCGCTTGGTGAAACCGAGCAAATTTAAGGTAGAGTGTGTGATTCTTGTTTCTCAGTGGCGCCATCTATGGCCAAGAAATCGATTTCTGCCACATCAAAAGTCACACCTGTTTATAAGGTGAACCCATTCATTCATCCACCGATCGTAATTTTGAACTGAATCAGAGAACGATCGGTTTCCTATCCAGTACCCCCAGGGGTTTTAATTTGTTATGGGAGCATGGAGGACTTTGCGACTCGACAGAACTTTAGCGTGCATCAGTAACCAACTAAACGGGGAGTCTTCGGCCGGCGGAGTTCGAACCCACGAACTCTCGGACATGGGCCCAGTGCCCTACCTTCCAGGCTATCCCGACCAGAAATTTTATTGTGGACTGTTTCATGCTATGAGTTATAAGCTTAGTACAACTGGTTAATGCGAATTTTACAAAATAAATTATGCTTTATTTTATGTTTATGCGAAATCTGAAAGAACAATAACAAATAAGGTATTAATTCTTATATTTGACAATAAGCGATTTGTTACAAATTTTTTTTATGAAAGCAAGCATATTTTCAAAGTTAATGAGATATGTATCAAGATGGAAAAAAAATTAGACTTAAGTTATAACCCATAAAATGCTTGAACAAGTTAACGAAATCAATGTTACGTTCCTTAACTTTTAAATGTATGTAGCTGTTAATAATAAATATTGATAACAGAAAAATTTCAGATTTGAAGATGCCGCTTCTGAAAAAAATGCTTATAAATGCAAACAAAAAAAAATTATTAGAACTCAGCCACCTTTATTACATCAATAAAACTGGAAGGGCAGGCATTAAAAAATAAACATTTGGTTGACATTATTTATTTCTTTTTATTGATATACATATAGAATTCTGAAACAATCAAGAAACTCGCAATTTAGTTTCCTTTTTTTCTTTCCTTTCTTTTCAAAATGAAAACATAGTAATGTGTGGCCAAAACATATAATGTAATATATAATATTTTGCCAAAAAAACAGTAACAACAAATAAAATTAGACACTGCAACTACAACTGCAGAGGCTAAGTTTTAAGTATGAGATACAAATTTCATATCAAACAAACTTCGCCTTTGTGGTTGGTTTGGAACAGTCATCATTAGAATCTAAGAAAATTCTCCCCTGGCGAAACCAATACGTTCAAAATTGCCACAAATAAAGGTAAGATACAAACTCTTTCAGTGGGACAGGGCCTACATGTTATAAAGTACATGTTTGGGCATTTCAATACATTATATGAAAAGGGTCTTAGCATTTTTAACAAAAGACTTCATAAAAAGAATTTTGCATACAGTGAATAACAATGTGAGCACTGACTTTCACACACTTAAGACTATTTCTATGAACATGAGTCAAGGTGGCTTAAGGCATAGTTCGTTACTCTTTAAATGAGGTAACTCAGGTTTGAATCCCAAAGATGGTTCGGTGATACGAATTCTGCTGCCGGGTCACATCGACCACAGTGCTGATGCAAATTATCCTCAGTGGCAGACGGATCATGGGTTAGAATCCTTTTGCTGCTGAGCTACTCGTGGGTGTTTTTCGCAATTTTCCTCTACATGTAACGCAAATTTGGATTAATTGCATCAAGAAGTCCTCCATGAAAGCTTGTTTGCCCCAATACTTGATCCTGGAGTTCCCTTGTTTTCTGGATGGTGTTCAAAATTACAAGGTTACGGAGCTGAACATCGATAATTATAAACTCAGAATTGGGTTGGTTGTTCAACTCCGGTTCTAAAATATAAATATAGAAATTCCATGAACTATATATAAGTAGAAACGGAAGGAAAAGATGAATAAAAAACTTAACTTTAAGATTTACAATTTATAAAATGGAATGAAAGTGTGTGGAATAAAATTGGACAACTAAATTATATAGACGAAGTTGTAATTAATTTTAGTAAACATCAATTCTTAAAATTTGTAATAGTATTATGAATTAAAATAATTAATAAACATTGTATAATTAAACAAAATACCTGTACAGTAAATAAGAAGTAATAATTGAAAATAATTACTAAAGATTGATCACATAAATTACATGAAGGAAACAGTAAATGAATTATATCAAAGGCAAATCAGTTCCAATTAATTAAAACAACTTATAATTAAACTTTCAATACTGCCTTATTAAAAAATTCTTAAGTTAAATTTCAAAATAATACAGTATTAATGTTGCAAATCATTCCTAATTTATGCATTAAAATGTTATATACATAATACTTATGCGGTAAGCGATACTGCAATATTCATATTTAGTTAATCTGATATACTAATGAGGTACTCGTACTTTAATACTCTTCAAGTAACATCGCATTTGAATTTTAGAGTTCGGGGTACTTACAAAATTAAATGCAACGTGATAGGACGTGAATACTTCACATGAAGAAATGAGTAAATGTTGAGAGAGTTTTGTTGTAGAAATAGTCCCCATTGAATCGTATCTAATGCAAAGCTCTTTATTGTTAACGATCAGAAAGTTGTAATTCTATTTATTCTCCTTCCAAAGAAGTTCCCTTGGGTGGGACTCGTCAATACGTGAAACTAAGATAAAGCACGAGGGACATTTCGGGACAGTAACAATTATTTATTCTTGAAAGTATCGACATCGGAGTTATATCATTTAGGAATGTGACGACTAGCGATAAAACTAAACATACCACTATAGATTTAATGCTGAAACTTCATTTCTAATGCTGCTACGGTATGAGTAGTTAACTAGTTATTGATCGTAAAAAGCATTTACTTAATAGTTAATATACATAAATAAGAAACCGAATTATGGTATTAACTGTGTAGAATAATTTGGAGAAATCTGGAATCACAGTACTATTCTAGAATATTTTTATCTGCAATATATTGTATTCTACTTGAATTATTTTACTAAGTAACAATTGAAATTATTAAGTAGTTATTAATTGTAAAGATTTACTTAATTATTTGAATAATGGTATTAATTTCGTAAAATTATACCAATAAAAAAACTAGTAAAATTTAGTCTTAAGTACATTTCCAGACATACCACCTAGAATATATTCAAGAAATCTTTTATAAATCATATAACAGTCTTTTTTACGCATATTATAAAGTAACAAACTAATTAACTTGTTATTGGTTATTGAAAAAAACTTACATAATAACAATAAAAATTTGAATAATGGTATAAATTATCTGGAATAATTCCATACACAGAAGTTAGAAAAATTCAGAATCGTGGGCGCTGTTCTAGTATTCTTTTACAAAGAATATCCAGAGAATGTATAGAATATCTAGAGTTCTTTTATAAAGTTATAATGCGAGTAATCGAAAGTAAAAATTCTTATTAAATGTCAAAAGTAAATTCCATTAATGTGATATGATCTATTTAGAATAATAAGATACTTAAAATCCAGAAAAAATATAATCCTATGTTACACTCCAGGATTACTCTATTTAGAATACAGGTCACGGAAATATTTTGCGGAAAATGGTATCATTATATATTATAATTCCAAAATTTCTTAAGATGGAACATTATATTATCTAAGGTGGTATTTTTATAGAAATATTTCTTCTACTACATAAAATAGTATTTGGAGGTTTTTGTTTTGTAATCTGAAATTCTAGAAATCTAAAAATTAGAATTATATTAGAGGACTTTATCAAAAAATATTATATCAAATGATTTCGTCAAAAATTCCTGTAGAACTCATAGTATCAGAAGCTTTATATGAGTTGATTATTATATGCGATGCTTTTAAAAGAAATATAAGAATTGATTAGTACAGATTATGTTTTAACCCTGAAAAACTTTTTTTTCGTAGAATGTTCATTTATTAAGAAAACAAAAGTTCTATTTTTCTCAGGTTATAGAAATATAAATTTTTTTTCAATATTTTTGCTATTAAATCTACATTCATTAACACATTGCATTCCTATTTAATTATTTGCTACGCAATTCTAAAATTAATGAATATGTACTCAATTTTTCTTTTCATTACAAATCTTTTCTAATTAAATAAAATAACAACAATGCGATATCATAAAGAACTAAATAAAATTGTTTTTATTTTAATTTTTTATTAAAAATATATTACTATTATTTTTATTTAAATAACATTAAAACTCCTTGTTAATAAAGTATATATATATATATATATGCACATACATACAAAGATACAAATGCAATGATAATGAAAATTGAAGAGAAAAAGTATAAAATATATGTTTCTTAGTTGCGATAGCACCAAGCTCCTAATGTCACAGATGCAAAAGAATTTGAGGATTAAATTTAAAAAAAAAGTTATTACCTCACATGAAACTGAAACGATTACCAGAAAAGGAGAAATACAAAAAGCAGTAACAGAAAATAACGTAATAAATATCACAAATATTATCACTATATATCACATACCCCAACAGTACCACCTTTGGAATACCCCAAAAGAAAAAAAGCCGAAAAGTTTGTTACAGGAAATAGTATCCTAAAAATTAAAAAGGAAAAACAATGAAACAGAAATTAAAGTAGAGGGACTGACATACACGTCGGCTTCATGAGGAGGCATTATCGCGCAGCCAGTGCAGGAGCAGTTTCTGCTGTTTGAGGAAAATTACCGTAAATTGCAATACCCTTGACTGCACCAAGAAATACAAGAAGAAACAAAAAGCGAGTCAGTACTTGTACAAAGAGTATGAAATTAGTACGTGTAAAAAGATGGAGAAGATCTTTTTTTTTTCACTTTTAGTAATTGAACTTTATATGGATTGTTAATAACTTGATTATTTTTTAGAATATACCTTACACTTCAGAACTGATGATAGCAATAGGAAACAAGAAAAGTTAAGCAGGGATGATGATCAATTCGTCCTAAGTAACTTGAAGTGTGGAACGAAATACCATTTATACATGACAGCCTCTAATAGTTTAGGTACGGGAGAACCCAGCAAAGAAGTTACAGCCCGAACTAAAGGTGCAGGTAAGCTGATGAATATTCGTTGTATACATTGGATTTACTTTTGACATTAGTGTTTTTACCTTGGCGAACTTAGGTATTCTTTGGCCAAGGTTTTTACATATATTAATGAATTTTACGAGCAGTGCAACAAGAAAAAAGGAAAATCACTATAACTTTTCATCTAATATTTGTATTGTTATGAACGAATATTCAAAATTAAGTGTACAAATATTATGAGCTTTAATATGAAATAGGAAAATTAATTGGAGCTACAAAATGAAGCAAAAAAATATATTTCCTCTGAATAAATAATATTTATTCTCTAATGACTTGAATTTTGACTCTCTCTAACTTAAAGAATGTAGTTCTATGATACCAATAAAATCGGTCGATAGTGTGTCTTTAATATCTACTTAGCATTTTGCGTTTTTTTTTTCAAATTCCCGGAATCGGAAAAGAAAATTTAAAAAAAAACACGTTAGTAAGACTCGTTTATCTCACTTATCTAATAATTTCAAATAATTTTTTTTATAATAATTTAAAAATTTTTATAGTTTGATTTAATACTGAATTTTTTTTTATTTCCGAGGAACAGACATTTTTTACCCCATTTCAAGTTAATAATGTAAAATCCGAAATCTGAAATTTTAACTCAATATATCGAATAATTCTTGCAAGGCAAAATTTTAAAATGACGATTTTTAGGATTTTTATTACTCAAAAGTTCTTCTCTTCTTTGTATACGTTATTTTTATTACTTAGTTTGGAAGGATGAAAATATTTAAAAACTGTTGTTTTAAAATTCTAATTTTAAAAGTTGCTCTTTCTGATGGATTTCGTTATTTAATATCATCTGCATAAATTATATTAGCAAATTAAGGTAAGTTTCTAGAAATATATATAGGTATTCTTATTACATGAAAATCTGATAACTAGATGAAAATTACTGAAGTGTTTCATTTCATTCATCTTGCGTATTATAACACGAAAGATAATTTGTTTACGAGTTGTTTTCTTTCTGACAGCACAACGAATAAGCAAGAGATATTAATTAAGGCTTATGAGCTTTATTTCCAGCTGCTTTTTCTGCTAATTGCAAAAAATAAATAAATAAAAATAAAATTTAAAAAAATAAAAAAATTAGATGACAAATGAAAGAAAAGGAATAAAACAAAGCTAACAGATTTCATTGAAGGGCAAGCTAACACGTTTTTGAATTGAATATATAGGTATGCATTAAATTTTTCTCTTGGCGGAAAGAAAATATCAGTTGCTTTTGCAAGGCTTAAGCATCCTGTCACCAATTAGCGGAATATCCCAATAATTGAGAAGCGTACTTTTTTGAAAAGTTGTATTTTTCACGAAAATCCAGCGCTATCTACTCACAATGTGATATAGCAACACGGATGATTAACGAATTTCAATTTGTATCTATTCTCTCGTTCTTTTATTCTTGCTCCACTTTGGAATGTTAAGAATTTGAGCACACCAGCAAGCGGCTTTGTTTGATCTACACGCGGCGAAAGTAAATTTGTGGAGTTTTTGTGGAAAATTTAGCTGAGTTTCTGTGGGAATGGGGCCTAAGGTCACCAAATAAATATTTTTGCTTTGGGTTCACTCAGTCGTTTTGAAAGTTAGAGGGCAGAAAGAATATTCCTTTATCTAAGATTTGACTCGATGAAAAAATTCATTACGATAATGATCGGTGTGAAGTAAACACTTAAAAATACTTTTCCTTATTTCCGCCCATTCCCAACGTATGTAAGAGAAGAAACATGCATTTTCTTTTGTGCGACATGCATTTTAATAAACCTTCTGCAGCTTTCTTGTACTAAAAAAAATCACCCAATATCATATTGTTTTTTTTTAAGTTTGATATAAACATCTAGAATTTTCCGATGACTTTATTCTTGCCATGTTGGCTGTCTTATGTAGAATTTATGCAAAATTTCTGGAATAATCGTCCCTTCAGCCAATTAGGTGGATCCTTCATCACTTTTTGAAGAATGCCACAGGTTCCTAAGCCCTTTTTTCATCGCTAAAAAGACTATAAAATTATTTCATCTGTAAATGGCAGTGGAAATTTAACTCCGGATGATATTTCTGCACTGACTACAATCTACAGTCCATTTCTTTTCGGATGTTCTATAACGTTGTACAACACTAAAGAATTATTATACCCAATTGAACTACTTCAACTTAGTGTTTGTACTTTCATTACCTATATGAACTATATTTCCTCTCAGCTCCTTCTTAGATCAGCGCCTACTTAACTCAGTACAATAAAAAATAATCATTTATTTTGTAACATGTTAAGTTTATATTTCTTTATCCATACATTTAACCATTTTTAATAACTTATGGCACATATATTTGATAAAGGGGTTAATTAAATTTTTGTCCTTGGCTTTCTTTGGAAGAGAGACCCCTCTTTACTTGCCTTTGTTTTGCTCACTTTTAACTATTTCATCGTGACGGACAAGACAACTAGTCTTCCAGAAATATCCGTCCTCTACACAAGACTTTATGTGTTGTTGCAGCGTATCCAAAGACTAATTCGTCTACATTTTAGCGCATTCTAGTCCTTAATTTTCTTTTATTTACAACATTTCTACTAAATGATGATTCCTTATTTTGTGAGGTACCTTTCTTTGACAAATTTCATTGTTTTGATACATTCTAATTTATGCAATATTTCAAATTTTAGTTAAAATTTTTGTTTTCTATATTTGATTTTATACATATTTTTCTTCAATTTATTAGTATTGTTTTATTATTAATATTTGATTTTACTCTTATTTTTCATTAATTGTTACTAGAAACGTAAATATGTCATCATAGTTATTATTATTATTAACTGCAATAATAATAATTTTTAAGGTAAAGTAATTTGTTCAAGCATTTAACGTTTTAAAGATATTTGAGTTCTGTTTCAATTTCATCAAAGTAGGTGAACTTTTAAGGCAGAGGGTTGGGCAAAAAGGTTGGGAACTACAGCTATGAAAGTGTTACCGAGGATGAGGGATGGAGAAAATAAGTTTCTACACTGTAAGAACAAATTTATACTTTTCCAGGAATTTCAGTAACAAAAAGTGCGTTTTCAGTTTCATTTATTTTTGAAACATATATTTTTGTACGTGTATGAGTTATTATTTAATAAGTCTGAGAACCGCAAAATGTGCAAAATCGAAAAATTGAGGTTAATAAAAAATTTAAAAATGATAAAAATATAAAATTTGGCCTTTGTATATCAAGTACATAAAAGAAAACTATTATTTTAGCCAGCTTTTCATCTGTTTGGTGGACCTTTCTTTAGGTTTATACATATCAGCGACGGCTTCAATTGTTTCGGATAACCTATGCTTCATTTTCAAAACTTCAAGATGTTTAAACTTCTCGACTGGTTTTTGCAGGAAAAACTAATCTAAACATGCTCAACGAAAATTGTTAAATAAAAAGCAAGCAATTTAGTGGATTAAAAAAAAGTTTCTGGTTGTTAAAAAAAAACAAAAATTAAGCATACCATAGCTAAGTTTGTTTCAAAGAATTGTCTTATATTTTCTTAACTAGATAGAAGGAAGAAAATAAAAATCTATGCGTAATTTTTTTTCTTTTTCTATCTTTTTTTTTAAAAAAAGTGACATGCATTTGAAAAAAATGTTAGACAAGCATTGAAATCATATATTTTGAAAAGAGAAGTAATAATATTTTTATATGTGTGGCTCATTTATCATAAAAAGTGAAAAAAGGACATTTTTACTGTCGCAAAAATAAACTTTTCCACTGTATGCACGACTATAGCTTCAGGTGAAATGGAATGTTTTATAATACTTAGGTAATACTTTTTTTTAAAAAAAAACTGTCAAAGGCATAAAATATCACGGAATAAATGTTTCACTTACATTTTTTTTATTATTCGTGAATTTCAGTAAATTAAATAAATTTATTTCATTATGTTGCACTATATTTCCATTTCCTCATAAATGTACATAATTGTAAATAAAATTAAAATAAATNATTGGTGCAAATTAGGGTCCTTACTCTTTTGTTTTGGTCTCGTATTTAATTTACTACATGGAACTACGAAGTTATGTCCAGAAAATGTCTTTTAAAATTGAAATCGTAGACTTTATTTAGTTAACATTTTGCTCAATCTTCAATTTATTGTAACTTGCTTTTACTATTTTTCTTACTACGTTCTATTTATAGATAGTCTTGAAAATGCATTATCCGTTGATTTTCCGTTACTTCGCGCTAGGCTCAGACATTGATGTTCGACATTGATGAGTTGATATGCGTTATCCCTATATTGCAAAGGAATTCTGTGAGATTTTGATGCATTTTTTATAAAGCGTTGAATTGAGCCATGTTTTTTTTAAGTTCAACTATCTATCTTATCGTGTCTAAACAAAGTGTAAAATTAAAATAAAATTTTAAGAAGAATGTTCGTTCAACAATAAGATTTCTTTAGTAACACTTTGTAAACAGTCTATAATGAATTTGAAATTAATATAAATTTTACAGAAACTATACCAAAGTATGAAATTTGAATAATAATTACAGTAAATTTGATATTGGAATAATATGAAACTAGAATAATCAGAATATAAAATTGAACTTTTAATTTTGTTTGTTCCAGGATCGTGAAAAGTGAATTGTGTAAATTGTACACATAAAATAAGCTTTTATTAATAAGTAATTTCTCTTAGCAATTCTTTGCAGCGCCTGTCTCACCTCAAGCTTCTTTCTTTCTGAGAGCTTATGCCACTTCTGCGTCCTTGAATCTAAATATGAGAAATTAGAATAATAGTCAGAATTAATTTGAAAACTAAAACCCAAAATTTGAAAACAAAATATGAAATTAAAATAACAATTCGAGCTAATTTGATATTAGAATAATATGAAATTAAAATATAATATATCTGAATATAAAATTGAACTTTTAATTTTGTTTGATAGTATCAGGAACTTGAAGAGTGAGTTATGTAATTTGTACACACAAACTAAGCTTATGTTAATAAATAATTTCTCTTAGCAACTTTTTTCAGCCCCAGTCTCACCTCAAGTGTCTTTCTTTCTGAGAGTGAACGTCACTTCTGCTTCCTTGAATCCAAATATATGAAATAAGAATAATAGTTAAAATTTACTTGATAACCAAAAACCAAAAGTCGAAAACAACAATATGAAATTATAATAATAATTGGAACTAATTTGAAATTTGAATATTCAGAATATAAAATTGAATGTTTAATTTTGCTTGATAGTACCAGGATCTTGTAGAGTGAAGTGTGTAAATTATAGTAATACGTAAAATTAGCATATATTAATAAATATTTTATCTTTGTAAATTTTTGTAGCGCCAGTCTCACCCCAAGCGTCTTCCTTTCTGAGCGTGAACGCCACTTCTGCGTCCTTGAATCTAAGTGCCTGGCAGAGCAATGGCTGTCCCATCAAACATTTCGTCGTCCAGTACAAACCCAAGTATCAGAATCAGTGGACGACGGTGAGCGAAAAATTAGAAATGTCAAGAGATAATTACGCACTACGACATCTGGCACCGGAGAGAGATTACGTCATTATGGTCATTGCCCACAGCGACGCTGGCCTCACGCAAGCAGAGTACAGTTTTCGAACACTCCATGCATCTCAAGCAGGTAATACCAAAGATAGAGTGTTTGATTGCTACACGACAAATGCGGGGAAATAAAATGAATGTTAAATGAGTAGAAGATTAACGCTCTGGGGATTGTTTCGATAATTTGTTCGAATCTTCCACTAGTGCGTGAATGATTCCTCGAATTATACGACTGTTTGTGACATTTGTTGAGTTTGTTATAAATAGTGACGTTTTAATATATGATAATCGTAAAACTAACACATTTCATCATCGTATAAACTGATATAAACTGATTTATTGAACGTTTTATCACTCAGCAAATGTATTTTATATTACACGCAGTTTATTTATTTATTTTAAATTTTAATAATACCTCATTTGTATGAGAAGGACACTTTAAGAAATGGATTATATTTTTTGATGTAAAATATATAAGTGGAATTAAAATCTGATTAAACACCTTTATTTTATTTAATAAATTTAATTACGTAGTATTATAAATTCATAATTTAAGAGAAATATTTTATCTTTTTATGAAACCTTTATTACTATTTGTGTCCAGCTTTTTTAAGATAGACAGTTCCCTTTGAAAGCAGAAAGAAAATTTGCTACATAAGTGGTTTATTATTGGGAATTATTCTACACAAACAAAATAATTATGTTTTTCATAATATAATAATAAAATAATACATAATATTAGCATTACATTTGAATTATACTTGGATTTTCAGTGCAAATCAAAGTTCAGTGTTTTATTAGAGATAAAGTATAGAATCTCATAAACAAATATACGCATAATGTAATAACATGCACTACCACATATTAAAACCATATTTTGCAGCTATGCGCTAATGAAATAAATTTTATATCGACAAAATAAAAAACTTAATTTATCATTGTCAATTGCATCCTTACTTTTTTACAACAATAAAAAATGTCGTCGAAAAAAAAATCATCAATTGGCATTTACAACTTAATCTGTATAACTGCAGCGGTAACTGTATTTTCTTACACAAAAGTGTTTATATATCAGTGTCTCATTGCATCATACTCTGAATAATTGTCGTTATTGTCGAATTTACGAACTCATCAAACTTCATATTACAAAAGTAATAATAATTATCATTCTGGATAAGAGTCGTTTTTTTAGTTTATTATAAGATTAGCTTTAAAGAATACAAAAATCATTATGATTTAGAAGAAAAGAACATTTGGGATATTTAAATTAAACTGTAATTGATTTTTATTTGCTTCATTAATTTTAAATTATTTTAATTACAGCTGAAATTCACTAACGTTAATCGATAGTTAATACTTTTTACTAAATAATATTTAATATTCCTTATCTTGAAAAAAAAGAAAAGAAAACGGAAAAGTGGAATTTCGCATTTTTTCTATCTTACATATTTTTTTTATCAGAATTTTAAAACATAATTTATTTTTATGCGCTAATAAAAATCACATTTCCGATTTGTTGGTAATAAACAGAAACAGGAAAAAGCATACAAATGCTGACTGAAATGAAAACAAACTCAAACGCGTCTCTGTAGCGTCCTGAAGAATTTAATATTTACCATACACATTTATTCAAACGTTTTAGAAAGTGTATTTATTTGTGGAAAGAATTTAAAATGCTGTAATATCTGAAAAATACTATTATTATTTTTTCTTGGGGTAAATGCTTTTAAGGAGACTTTATTTTATTTGCTATGGATGTAAAGTAGTAATCTTCAGAACATTCAAAGTTTTATTACCTTTTTAGTCGATAAATGCAAATCGTACAACCCTCACATATCTTTTCATATTTACTTCTAAGATGATGCACTTTCAAATGTATAATGGAACAGGAATACATTGAAAGTGTTGTATCTATTTTAAATTGCAATAGTGTAGAGTACTCATTGGTTGCATGCTTTAAAGGGAAAAAAACCTTTGATTTTCCTTACCTTATTCAAGTGTTAGGATAATCTGCACATTCTTAAGTTTTAAATGCTGTAAACGTGAATCTTTAAATTTTTTTCTTTCGCTTATGCAGATATTTTTGAAGTCATTGTCTATTAAGCTTTTTTTTAAAGTTTTTGGCTAAAAAAGCTGCACATCATATGAAAGTTTAACAAAGAAACCGTTATCAAAGCGTGACAAGTCATACAAAAAAAAATTAGATATTAAAAATGCCATAATTCATCTAACTGCAGAACATAATTCTTTGAAAATAATATTCGATTTAGGGAAAATACTTCGAAATTCATTTGTCAATCAAACTGGTTTTTAAATACTCTATCTCATCCAGATATAGGGCGATCGTTTTCCAATGAGGGGAACCATGTTCGAATTCAAGTGATTGGTTGGTTGATACGAATTCTGCACCCGGTTCGCACCCACCTCATTGCTGACGTAACCTATACTCAGGGGTAGACGGATCGTAGGTTAAAGTTCCCTTGCCGTCTGTTTAACTGTCTGAGGGTTTTGTTGTTTTCCACACCATGTAACGAAAATGTGGGGTAAGTTCTATCAAAAAGTCCTCCACGATGGTGAAATCCTCCTAATACTTGATTTAAGAGCTTCCTTGTCTTCTAGATTGGGGGTAAATATTATAAGGCCATGGAGTTGACCATTAGTATCCATAAAACCAAAATTTGGGTCTGCTGTTCAATGACGGTTATGAAATAAAATGATATCTCATCCAGATGGGCCTGCAAACGTAAAAGCTTCCACATGTTTTTGTTTTTAATTTATTTTTTCTTTTATTTATTTTTTGTTAAAAAATTAAATCAACGCCATTGGAGCCCACAAATGAATGATTTAGGAAGAAGCTGCAGTCGAAACCTCAAAATCATGCAAACAAAAGTGATATTAAAAACCACAAAACCTAATTGATTGCATAAAACATTTCATAGAAGGTGAACGGCAATTTGGAGAGATGACTACAAATTTCACTTAGCAATTAAACTGGCTTTTAGAACTTTAGTGTCATTTTCCTTCAGGTTTTGAAAAAAAATTACTTTTCTTGCTTAAACATCAACTTGTAACACCTATTTAGCGTATTTGCTAAACTTTATTGACAGATAAAAGTTCGTTATTAAATTTTAAACATCGAAGCTATTAATTAAAATGTGTTCTATAAATCAACAATTGTATAGAAAAAAAATATTTATATTGTATGGTGGTAGAAGCTCGATAATTATGGAACTGTTTCAGATTCAAACTCTATACCAGTATTTGGCAAACGTGAAACTGATATTCCTTTTTACAAAAACGTAGCACTGGTCATTCCTGTTGTTGTGTCGTCTCTTGTGCTCATCATGGTGGTTTTCATTGTTGCTGTCTGCATTCGAAAGCACTCTCAAGATAGAAGAGGTACTATTATATAACTTACTCTCATTTATTGGTAGAGCTAATTAAACGTATTAGTCAATTAAAAGAAGTAAATTTAATTGATTATTTGATGTATAAAAAGGAAAAATTTCTTAACATTAGAGAGATCGAAGGAGCCTTTCGGTTCCTCTCGTTTTTTGTTGCTCTGTAATTCCAAAAAATAAAAAACTTACGTAAAGTATTTTGTATTTTTTACTTTTCATAACTTGATCCCATTTAAGTCCGTATTTAATAACCATGTGTTAGCCTAATTGTAGCATATATAGAGAGAGGAGCCAGAGTAACCCATAAGGTATTTTGGTAGGTAACCCATAAGTCCAGGTAAGATCGTTTATCCTTTAGTATGTGTGAGGTAACCTAGTTATGTTAAAAAAATAAGAAGAGTATTTCAACATATTTAATTTAAACAAAGTGAGATTTTTCTCACTCAAAAAAAAACATGAGTACGTAGCTGCAAAACATTTACCCCCCCCCTTTTTTTTAACGAAATTACGAGTTTACGAGTTTTTTCACAAAACTAAATTATGTAGCGCTTAAAATATTTAAAATTTGAAAACAACTAAAAAACTAATTACCCCATGAATAACATTTTAATACCTGAATATTTCTGATACAATTCTCTGGAATTTGGCAAAATTTCAATAAGTCTCATTTAAATGTTTTTTTTTTTAGTTATGAGCGTAAGAGATTATGAGAATATCAGCCAGTTTACTATTATTGATCTGTCCCAATAAACAAGCTCCAGAGTACGCTGAAATAACTTCCGATACAAATTACGGCAAAAAAATACAGTTACTTTTTACCGTAAAATATATATATACAATATATATACAATATATATATATATNTAAATAGATAGATAGATAGATAGATATGAATTATCGATAGATAGATATGAACTTATTATCGTTCCTATTATCACTCATTTAATATAAGGTATGAAACTGAAAAGTAAATCTAAATGTATAATTGATTTTATACCGTGCTTTAAAGTATCATGAAAAAAAAATCACATAATTTTACCACATTTACTAAATTTTATCACACATTATAAAATAACATTTTTTCCAATTTTACCAAAATCATTTAGAAAGTGCTTCATTAAAAATTGCCAAGCATTTTCAAATTCCCGTAGAGCCAGAAACACGGTACATTTTACCATATTCTGGTAGTTTTTACCACACATTTTGTCTCCAAGTGAATGGGAATAAGAAAATTATTTGAAAAAAAAAATCATTTGCATTCAAACTAAAGATTCAGGGACTTAAAATTCAAGTGATCTGTTAAAATTCAGTATGAGATGGTGAGAGATCTACGAATAGATCTCATCTGTTCGAATCAGTACACAGTCTTCCAACATCGATCTTTGATTCGAGCATTTATCAACGTCAAAAGCAATACAGATTAACGAGACACTAATGGAACGTCGTTTTGTCAATGAGACCTATGGGAATACAATATCACCCAAATCGCTATGAAACAAAGTATTACCAGGACAAATACTAATCACATTTAGTTTCCAGGGCGTGCTAATACTAATTTCTCTAGTATATATTTCCTAATTGTCATTTTACACTAGAGCGCATAATTTAAAACATTTTATTTTAAATATTTTTTATACGTTTAGTTTGATTAATGACAGTAAAACCTCAATAATACGATTGCGACTTATTATGAGACGTCCGTTATCATGCCAAGTTTCAAAGTCACCGCCAAAATCCCAATATTGAAGTTACAACAAATTTATGTTTATAATGAATTTTGAGCTGCGATGACTAAGGGGATAGAACGTTCGCCTTACAATAAAGTCAACCCGTTTCGAATCCCGGAGATGGCTGATCTATACGAATCCCACACTCAGCTCGCACCGACTACAGTGCTTTTTTAAAATATCCTCAGTGGCGGACGTATCATGGATTAGAGTCCCATTGCCATCAGACTGACCGTAGAAGGCCTTCATGGTTTTGTTCTAAATGTAACGCAGATGCAGGTTGGTTCTATCCAAAAGTCCTCCCAGAAGGAAAATTTGTCCCAATACTTGATCCAGAAGTTCTCAATTACATGGAATGGGTTCAAAATTACAAGGAGTTGCTCACTAACAGTCGTAAACCCAAAATTTTGTCAGCTGTTAATCGATGGTTATAAAATAAAGAGTTAAAATTTATTATTCCATTGCGACAAAGAAGTTTGAGTGGAATACATTTTCTCCTTTTTTTATAGGGCAAAATTATGCGAAAAATGATGAAACAGAAGACATTTTTTTATTTACATCTGGTATAAATACAGAGAAGTGAGAAACGGACATCATTCATACACATTTTCAGCCTCCAATTATTAATAAGAAATAGAAACTTGGTCACTTTTTCAAATTACAATTGCTTCTATTGAAATTATATTACCTTGGAAATTATTGTATTGTTAAATAGAAATTATTTCTGTAAATTCCAAAATTAGACAGTTTAAAAAACACTAGTGTAAGCTCGAATATGCTTGACGTTTTATATCATATGTTGTCATGATACCTCATTTTGGTTAATGATTAAATTATTATATATTTATTTAGTTTTATAATTTATCGATAAAAAGTTTTGAAAAATTTAACAACGATTTTTGAAACTTAATTTTTGCATGAAGCAAGGAAATTGAATTCCCTAAAGAATTTGATTTATTTAACTGTTTTAGTAAAAGTTAAGTGTTCGCAACTAAATTCTCACTTTTTTTTAAAATTTTATTATTGCAAATGTCATTAAATGTTTTTTTTACATAATGATTTCGATCACATGAAAAAGGATATTTCGGGTCTACCGGAATCTGTATTTTGTTTCTCTGTTTAAAATAATTTGCATATTAATAAGAAGGAATTTCAGGTTAAGAAAAATTATCTTGACGCATCCTTTTCTTTCACACGAGGTCCTAAAATACACAGAAGTTGATTTTGAGGCATTTGTACTCTGTATAGAAAAGGTATCATAACTGGAGGAACCGAAAATTTTAAATTTAAATAGGTTAATTTTGTCTTCAAAGACCAACATCAATGGTGAAAAGCAATTCAACCATCTTTTGCACGAAAAATAGCTTCCAATATAATGAAAGCTGTCAGATAAAATGATATGCTATTACACTTTAAAGTTAAAAAAAATGAAGGAAAAAAAAGTGGAGTCTTTTTTTGGATACCCTCTAAGATTTTTTGAACGGCATGCACTGAACTTATCGTTCTTGCCAAGGAAGGTGCCGGAAGTCTTGCTCATTTTGCGTTGCCTTGTGAGCATCATGTGACCAAAGTAACGGAGGTGAGCAACATTACTCACGCTGCACTGCCACAGATGTATATTCATAGTGTTGACCACATCCACACATCACACACTACAGCGGACTACACACAAAGGGAAACATCCGCACCCTGAGAGGGATTCAAACCCGCAGCCACTGGTTTTGCAGTCAGGTACGAAACCCTATAAGAAAAAAACAAAATTTATGCCTTGATATTTTGAAGTTAAATTGAGGCATTGAATACTCTCTATTTTATAATTGTTTCTAAAAATTGCGAATTTCTAATTTAACTTTTTAAGCGAAGATATAAGGTTAGCATTTTCAATGTTTATAGCATTAACACTAATGCTTTGTTCTTACAGATTACGAAATGAGAAAACCCTGCAGTGATTCGCTAATGATGACTGATCTTGGGAAAGAGGCACCCACCAAATCGTCAAAACCATCGCATTATTCTTGCCCCGCAGGTAGGTTTGTACTTTTAATGAAAATCATTTTTTTATAAAGCTATAGGATTGTTCAATTATTACTAATAACTAGGCAAATTTTTATTCTTTAAACGTTAATTGTTAAGTGTTTATCAGTAACCTTGAAGAAAACTGTAATTTTCGTTTTTAGAAAAATATGATATTCGTCATTTACACAAAAATAAATTAAAACGTTTTATTTTTTGTTAAAGTGAAACTGGCTTAAATACATTTGCTAATGCTCAGACATTTTCAGTTGCTCCATGACTCAAAAATAGAATCATGTATTATAAAAATCTTAGCGCGTTTTCCAGTAATTATTTTTTTATATATAATTAAGGTTATTAATATTGACAATGAGCTAAGTTTGGAAGCACTATTTGATTGCTTCTCTGGTCAACAGGCTTGCTGACCAGACCAGAGAAACACTTAAATTTAAGGATGAAACCAATGATCTACAAAAATAAAGTTTGGAATCTTTCTGGAAGCAATCGAACGTTAAAGAACTAGAAATTCATTTTCTCATTGAAAGTTGTGAGAAAATTGAGCAGAAAAAAATTCCGAAATTTTATTTTGATCACAATTTAACGATGTAATTTTTTTTTCTATCGGCAGCCACAAAACCTTGAAAGTGAAATAAGGAAGGGCACATCAGTCACCGACAGATAATAGTTCTTAAAGAAGGCTGTAAAAGAGCAGTGTAACCTTTTTAGTAGACTTTTTAGTTTATTTATATATATATATAGAGAGAGAGAGAGTGTGTGTGTGTGTGTTACACAAAGTGCAGGTAAAAATTAATCACAACTAAAACATTCATTTCCTTAGTGAATATTCGCAATATAAATTANCGGAAACAAAAAGAAAACGAAAGTAAGCTAATAGTAGATAATATTAAGCGCTAAAGCTGCTTTAAATATGATCACTATAACATAGCACAAAAAAACAAAACCGAACAAAAACGGAAACAAAAAGAAAACGGAAGTAAGGTAATAGTAGAAAATATCAGGCGCTAAAGCTGCTTTAAATATGATCACTATAACATAGCACAATAAAAACAAACAGAAAAACGAAAATAATTAATAAGTTTTATTAACTGCGCATAAGCTGCAAAACTATTACCTTACTTGCATTTTCTACTATTACCTTACTTCCGTTTTGTTTTTTTGTGCTATATATATATATAAGCAATGAGTTTAAAAGAGGTTATGTTGTAAAAGGAAGATGGAATTATTTCAATTCAATGTTAAACACGTTATATGACATTAAAAAAATAAAATTGACGATTGTGAAATTACGACTAAGAAAAAAGTAGAGTAAAAGGAATTTCCTACTCAAATTTCAAAAAAACACATGAAAAAAATAGATTGAAGTCAGTTTGTGTTCTTTAGAAATATTCTGGCAGATCCTTGTTTTAGACATTAATTGAGTGCATTAAACAAATATTTATGTTTGAATTATTGTAAATATTTGTGTGTTTTTCAATTCAAAGTAAGAAAATTCAATGTTTTCTTGTATTTTTCTAATTCGAAGTTTTGCTTTCAGTCAATAAAGGGGATTATGCAGAACCTTACTGCAATGATTTGCTACCACCCAAGCAAGTAAGTAAAAAGCAAAAACTTGTTAGGCCTAGTTAAAATAAATATGGAATTACAATCAAAAAATTTCGAAAGTAGAGTAAGTGACATGTAAAAAAATGACTTTCAGTCATGTTACCTGCAAGTTTTCCCTAAATTAGACATTAGCAGATTATTAATTATTGTTTGATTCTTTTTATGTGCATATCATGAGATTTTTGCATTCAGGTAAAACATTTCGTATAATTTCTAAAAAGCCTGCATTAATTTTTATTAAGAAAAAACGCATAAAGAATTTGATTTGAAAGCTTTACTATCATAGTTAATATTATTTCGAATTAAATTTTTTCGGGAATAGTTTTTTTCTACTTTTCAAATTAGTTTATTAAATGAAATGAAACAAATGATAATTTTTAAGTGTTAAAATTTTTGGTACATCAAATTGTCTCTTTTATTTTCAGTTTAAAGTAATTAGGTCTTAAAATAGTGATTTTTTAATATTATTATTCCTGATAGTTGTTTTTTAATTACTTTAATAAATTATCTGTAATATAACTTTTTTTAGGGAACTGGGGATGGACTTTTCGCTACGATAAAGAGGTGTCCAACACGTCCAATATATACATCTAATGCATATAAATCAGGTAAAATAATATAAGTATAACCCTATAGGCTCCTAAATGCTTGGTATCATTAAAATTTTAAATGTTTACAATAGTCTTGTTATACTTTCATTAATCTTAAAACATTTCTTATACATTTATTTATTTTATTTATTTATTTTATATATTTTTGAAGGGATAAATATAACAGAATTTGGGTTACTTCAACTATTCAGTTTGATTAATTTCTTATTAGGCACCACAATGATATATATAAATTTTAAATCCGAAAATTCGTATTTATAATTTTTTTTAAATGTAGCTACTTCAGTTAATGTAATTTCGAATTTTCTACAGATTTTTATTTATTAACAAATATAAAAAAAAATACACGGAAGTAAAATATCAGATTTAATGTATCACGTATGTATTTACCAATAAATTAATGAATTGATTAAATCATTTTTGTGTCATCTACAGTGTAAAACAGGGTTTCTCAAAATTATGCAAAAATGTCACATAATAGCTCCGACATCAATAATAGTCTAATTTCAACAAAACATCATGTATTCAAAATTGAAATAGCATGTACCCAGTTTTAAGCAATATGTCTAATCTTAAAAGTGATGTGCCGGGAGAAATTTGGGTTAGATGGCTGCTGACAGGATTCGAACCGAGTACCTCTAGTTCGTAGTAGGATGCTCTAGCCATGATAGTTGTGCAACTCACTTCGTGGAGAATTAGAAAGCTTTATATAGTTGCAACCTCAATTACTCATTTTTACGTACTTATTTCTAATTCCAATGATACCAAGGTTGCAAAATTTTAGTAAAAGGTTGTTCCTAATAGCCTTAACAAGAGATCGATAATTTTTGCACATTTCGTTGAACTTTAAATTTTTTTTAAAGCAGTGGAACACATAAAGCTTTCTTACTCTCCTTAGACTAGTTTGTACACTCATGATGCTTATAGTTCAATTATTATGGTGTTTATAGTATAATTATGGTCCTTGGTTCGAATCTTGCTGGTTTCTGGCGAACATTTCTTGCCTTATGTCATTTCTGTGACTTTGCTATTTGCACAAAAATGACTATATGATTTTTCAATTTTGAATACACGGAGTTTTCAAATTCGAGTATTGTTTGTTTTAAAGTTATTTGGACGCATTTTTGCTCAATTTTATGGAACTATTTTTTATAGTGTAGCTGTATTCCAGTAAAACCAAAACTAATCATTAACTCACCTCTAGTAGAAGTTATTGCTTGACTAAACTATGTTTCTCAACCGAAGTTAAATAAGTTTCCAGAAAACATTTGCTGCGAATATAGTCTGATTATTTTTGGCTCGTTAACGTAGAAAATGACAGATTGTTCTGCTATTAACTTTAGTGGATTAATTCAATTAGTAACATAACTAGTTACGCAATTAGTAAGTCAACCTGTCTCGAAACATGATAAGTAATCTAAATATCGAGTGAATGAAAAATACCCCTAATTTGTCTTTATAATATTACATTTTTCAATTAACAACCTCCACGACAAAATTTGAATAGTTAAATTCAAATATTGTAAAAATGGGAATGTGAATTCGAGTAAGTTCAAATATTGAGGAAGTAAGTCCAAATAATAAAGTAACTCTTTTAATGGTATCCTCTTAACTATATTCAATGAAAACTAAATCTTTTAACCCTTTCACTACCAATTTTTTTTTCTGATAAAAAAATGAAATAAGTAAATTAATATATCAGTTACAATGCAAATATCGATAAAATTCCAAAAAAGGGAAAAAAATTACTGAATTGTCAGTGATATCAAGGAATACCAGTGGGACATGCATTCATAATAATACAAAGCATATTTAGCCCATAGGGTTATTTGAAACTGCCTACGGACATGTATGTCCCGGTGGTAGCGAAAGGGTTAAATTAAATTAAATTAAAGTTAGGTTAATTTTTAAATTCAACATAAAAAAATTTAACTAAAAAGATATAAGAAATGTGCTGATGAAAAACAAAATATTATATTCGTTTTTGAAATCAAAGGAATAAAAAGTTTATTTTATTAAAATGTTGAAAATGCTTAAATCGTCTAAAAAACGACAGAAGATAGAAGCTTAATAAAATAAATGAAACGAAAACGGAAGAGGATAGAATTGCATAATTTTCTATGTTGTTCTCAGGAAATAATTTTTTTACCATCCAGCTAAAATTTGAAATTACTTGCAATCCATTTCAACAGATGTTGCCGCCAAATGAAAAAATAAACAAAACTGTAAAACAATGGTTTCAAAAATATTCATCATTTGTGTAAACCTTCTGGTACAATTTGTGTGCAAGATTAGCAAGCAAGCTTACCAATATTTTAGTCGTAGAGGATCTTACTTACAGCAAGAATTTTGTTTTATTATTTGATTTCTTAAGTTAGCAGCGCCATCTGTTGCCTTGAATTTCTTGAAAAAAGTATTGTTTTTCTCTCAGCTGAATAAAGCAATCCCTTATTATTTATTGATCTTAAAAATGGTCTCACATTTTAGTAACAACCCGTAGCTCGGAATTTTTTTCAAACTTGTCTTTTATTTCAAACTATTTACGGCACATTGATAAAGAACTTCGCTAACAAAATATAAATCAATTTTTGTAATTCTGTTCAGATTTTTAAATAAATGCAAAAACGTGTTTTAAGTCTTTACCCCTTTCCCTTTTTCGTAAAAGCTGTTATCAGATACATAACGTCACAAAAGAAAAAAAAAATATTGAGTCATAAGTTTATTAATTTTAAATCACAGAAAATATTCTATTATAGAATATTTTAATATCAATGTTTTAAAAAAAAAGGTCCTTGACATTTCAGTAACCTCTACAAAAGAGTCAATGCTAGGAAGATGTAAGTGAACTTGGAACTGGAACTGCATTGTTTTTCGGGGTATCTGCACCTGGGTGCTTATCCCCTGTAGAAAATTTGATATTGCCTCATGAGGGGAAATGCCTGAAGTAATTGGTTTACATGATGAATCAGCAAGAAAAATGAAAAGTTGAACTTAATTCTCTTAAGTAATCAAACCAAAAATCAGTTCCTGGTATCAGTCTGTCTGGCCGCAATTAAAGTCAGAAAAGTTTGCGAGCGAATCTTAAAATACGGTGCTGGAGTTTAATGTCTGACTCACCCATAGGACTATTTACATTTGAAGAGATATATTTACATGAAATGTACTTATTCAAAAGTTTTATATGAAAATCACGAGTTTAAAGTCTCGCAATGTTATTTCTTGCATTTACTTTAATAGAAAAAAATTCTATTGCGAGAGGATTTTAGAACCAGGTTTGGGCTGTTTTAAGCCAGTCATGATAATTTAAAACTCACCGTCTGAAATAAGCATAGCCAATATTCCTTTCTGTTATCAACGCCTGAAATGAAGTAAATTTTAACTAGCGAAAGAAGGATGCTTAGTGCAGTTTTAGTACTAGACATCCCTCTTGCACTGCTTTTCGACATAACTTTTTGAACGTGTCTGGAAAAAAATAAAGGGAAGAAAACTATTGGTTCTTTACGCCACGTTTCCATTTTTTGCATGTCCTAGATATTTCCCTTATATATATATATATATATATAGTGCTTAAAAAAAAGATAAAACATAATATTTTTTTCAATTTCAAAATAGGTTCAGAGAACAATCAGCAGATAGCTGACACTCAAGAAAACTGTGGAAACGTAGACTCAAACAGTTCTGACAGATGGCGCTATAAAGCAGGTAGTGGTCACAAGCCAATTCGATGACAAAGCCTGTCACCTCTTAATGAAGAAGATATATCATTGACATCACTTTGTACATTACCATTGCGAGAAACAGTTATATGAATGTTTATAAAAATTTGCTCACATTATCCCCTGCCAAAGTTTATCTTTAAGTTAGGATGTGATATATATATATAAACATATAATAATATGTTCTTTTCTTTTTTATGTGTATCAAATAAATATATTTGGAAAAAAGACTATGTTCTCTTAACTTTAAGCTGCACATTCTAGTAAATCGTTATCATTCTTTTTTGCAATAACAGATAAACCCTTGAAAATTTTATTTTACTAAACGTGTTTCCATATATCCTCATGCAATCGTGCGTTCATGGTTTTTGTAATTCATTTTAATCTTATATCAAAACTGCGATGCATAAATTACTAAATAACTCGCATGAAAGAAAATAACGCGTATTTACGACTCGTCTCGTAGCCTATACAGGGACAGTTCTGAATTCTATTCTAGAGCCCTGTGTAAAGTTAAACAACTGGGTAAAGTTGATATTATCAACAGGATCAGATCAAAAGTTTCCATTAGCTCATATTAATACGAATTTGGTCAATATTTTGCAAAGATGCTAGAAGAAGAATGTCTGGAGAAATTTACCGCCGATTTTCGATTGGTGTCCCTAAGAGTTGAGTACCATGCGTCTATCACATCTAAAGAGAATGGTATCAGTAAGTATGATCAATTTGATAGGCTATGTAATACGCATTTTATCTCGTCGGAATGGTTTCTTTCCTTCGGGATTTAAATCCAGCCTCTGAAAGACCAATCAAGAAAATATTGAACACACATTTTGTCAAACCATGGTTGATGTTTAAATAGAGTAGTTATCCTACTGAAAGAAATATTATATACTTCCATGAAATATTCCATACATATCTGAAAGCCTTTAAGAGAAAGAAAGATTTGCTCTTGATAAAGTGGAAAAGACATTTTTGAGAATTATTAATTTTTTTTAAAAAAAATTACTTTAATTTTCGTTTTGCAATACAACAGAAGCAAAAATCAGTATGGTTCCATTTTTTTTTCTTTTTTTGTGTTCTGATGAAGTTAAGCATATGCGAATTAGATATTGAAATATAAAATAATTAAAAAGTTAAGAGGGTCGCAATAGATTTGAAATCTTATTTAAAGTTGTAATTTCTGTTGATCCAGACACAATAAAATGGCACTTTATTGTTATGTACACAATGTACTCATCTTTGGCACTTTTTTCTTAAAGAAAACGATGAGTTTAGAATATGTGAATTAGTGTGCAATCGACTGAAGCTGGATTTCAAACAGTGCACATCCTCACTGCTTGAAAAAGAAAATCGAAGTGTAACCGTTAATGTTTGTAAACATCGCCAAGAAAGAGTTAAATTCTTGCCTTGGCTAGTAAATAGCTGAGCAAGTGAATACTCTTCTGTTGGAAGCAAAAAATTATGAGAAATTAATAACGTCAATTTATAAAAAGAAAACAATAATACAGCATGAAACGGTTTTCAAATTTTCTGTAAAAACATTTATATGAAAACTGAATTTCTGAAAATAGAATCGATTTGTATTCTTATGCCAATATTACTAGGAAAACTATAGTAAGAACTACATTTATCAAGAACAGGATGAAATAACATAGTAGTTTAACGGATAGATAATTTGCTTAATATTTTTTTGGCATTTTAAGTGGTATGTGTTGTTTTGTAATTAAAAACAAGAACAATTGCAAAATTGAATTCAGACATTTTTCCTTTTATTAATACTTATTTATAAAGAAAAATTAATAAGAAAGTAATATGTCTTGTCTGAGAAAAGAAAATTGTGGTGAAACTACCCTACAAAAACTGTGATTTATGTTATTGGATAAGTTTATTTGGAAAAATAAGCGTGGTGGTGGGCATGAAATGATAAAACATTTTATTTTCGTACTACGAGGATACATTTTTTAAAAAAATTTTTTATTACACTACGAGTCCTACACACTCTAATAACATTTCCTGCAAAATAAAAAAATAGCTAAAACACATGGTATTTTATCATTTGGTTGTTTTTCCGATAATGAGTTAACAGTTTACAAGGAAAAAACTTTCAAAATTATAGTTATTCTTAACATATATATAGTAAAAAAAATAAAAGAAAACTGAATAGTAAATTCAACCGAATAAGTACATTTTATGCCATGCTCTAAGGTATCATGATAAAATTAACAAATTTTAGCTCATAATATAAGAACATATTTCATTACTAATTTTACAAATTATTACCAAAGCGCATCGGTCTAAATTACCAAGCTTTAGGATCTTCTCAAAGTTCCAGAAGCATGGCAAATTTTATCATTGACCATATTTTTTTTCTCAGAGTAAATATGTATGTTCTCATTTTCATATTTATTTTCTTTTAGTTTTACATACGCAGTTTTTTTTTTTTCAGGATTTATAGTTTTGGCGTGCATTAAAGAAATGATTATTGAAAGTTTCTTCGAACAGCTTGTTATAAGACTTACACAGATTTTTAGCTGCTATTCTATACTTTTTTTTTTCACTATTTGAAACCAAAATTAAAATGTATGAAAATAATAAAATCTATAAATTATCGTGATCCCTTATTATTTCCCTCACTAAAAAGGAATAGTGCAGAAATTGTTTGGAAGTAATTAAAATAAAAGCCACGAAAAAAATACTTTTTTATTATTTTTTTATAAATTTGCTTTGAAAAACGCAAGTAATTGTTATTTTAGTATATTGAGGTAGATCCTTTTTCTCAAGGTTAAAAAGAGTATCAAATTTCTGATTTGTTACACAAGATAAAGCTTGAAGCCTTTGAAAAATAATTAGTGTATAATTTTTATTTTATTTCACAGAATACAGAGAACAACAGAATGATTGGCAAATGCATAAAATACTATATTTTATCATGAAGATTTCGATAAAGAATAATTTTAAAAAGTTTCTTCAAGAACTGAAAAAGATTCTTCCAAAAGATTGCACTTGAATAAAATTTCAAATTGCATGTTTTAAGATGCAAAATAATAATTTTGAAATGTTTGATTTGATAATTTACATGCATCCGTTTAAATATCGTCATTTGAAGTTACATTTATTAATGTTACGATTTAAAATGTTTCAAAAAACAATAAAAATTTTTAATTTTAAATTTTATATCTCAAAATCACTGAATTTTCAATATTCGGAATTTTTAAATCTAATTTGTTTTTAGTATATTAAATTAAGTTAAGTTAAATTAAGTTAAATTAAGTTAAGTTAAATTAAGTTAGATTTTGCAACAAGGTCTGCTAAAATAATGCGCAGCACAATGGACATCTTTGCTGACTCTCACGTCTTTTTTTTAAATTATATATTTTTAAAATTAACTGTGCAAGAGATATTCATGTATTTGTTTTTCTTTTAGAGAAGCCCTATAAATTCATTACTTTAAATAAAAATTACTATTAAATTTAAATTTCCTTTTGAGACAACGTTTATTTTTATATAAAAAAAAATTACTTATTTGATTTTTTTTTGTGTAATTTAGAATGTTACTAAATAGAGAGTGAAAATCCGCAGAACCAAGGACATATATATTTTTGACATCTCACATTTTTTTTTTAAATCAGCCATTTTCAAATTAGAATATTTTGCATAATTTACTATTTTTAATAACTTCTTCAATTTCATTATAAACGTAAAAAGAGTTTACTTATAAACTTCTTCCAGTGCAGCATTTATAATTATCTAATAAATAGTTTACGCACTTAAAAATTCACATTATTTGTAACTACATGGAAAATATTTTTCAAACAAAAGATATTACGCACGTTATTTTGACTCACTGAATAAAAAACCAAATTGCTATTTTTGGAATGTCACTGATAGAAAAAATGTGAAACGTCGCTGCCGGTAAATCTGGAAGGAATCAACAAAAAAAATCGTTGCAACAAAATCTTTATATCGAAATATCCGAGCCGGTTTCATCAATTTCCTTCTACCGTTATAGGTTTTTGCTGCCCCCCCCCACTTTCCCGTTAGAAATATCGAAATAAACAAAATAAATATTACTCTTAAGGTATGGGAGGATAGTCTGAGCTAAAAATGTTGTTTACTTCAAGTTTGTATTGACGTCTACTCAACGCTTTTTTTTTTTCGTAAGAAAGCGAGAAATATATAAAATTCGAAAAAATAAGAGCTGCAATTTTTCGAGGGAATATTTTTAAGCATCTTTTTTGTTTATAAATATAAATAAAAAGTCATTTGTATCGAAATTTTTTAATAGGAAAATTAGTTGAGGGCTATAATAAAATTAAGGACCATTTAGAGTCTAAGTGTTATTCATTTCAAGGTATATAAGTACATCGAAGAGCCATTACATTATGACCACAAGGCTAATAACATGTAGGACGACCTTTAGCCCTCAAAACTACAGGCACACGCCGTGGCATTGATTCCATAAGGTGCTGATTGGTAGTCTGAGGTATCTGGTACCAAGCGCTCACCTACTGGTCCTGCAATTCCCTCACATTGCGAAGGGGTAGTGTGAGAGCACGAATTTGGTTTTCCAAGTAGAACCACAAATGCTCTAATGGATTAAGGTCAGGTGTATTTGGGAGCCAAGACATGACTTGAAAGTCACTGGAATGCTCTTCAAACCAATTCATGACGATTCGACCCTTATGACATGGCGCATTATCCTGTTGGTAAACATCATCCACCACAGGAAAAACTGTTGCCATGAATGGGTGAACCTGGTCTGCAACTATGTTCAAGTAGATTACAGATTATTCTATGAGGATTATAGATCCTAATATGCCCCATGAAAACATTGTTATGAAAACCTGGGCGAGCCCATTGTTATAGATGGAGTGTGGTCATAATGACTCTTCGGCGTATATTATAACGATTTCAGTTTTGGCCAATTTTGTATGTGACGTTCAGAGAATCTTTTTAGTGCTTTATTTGTGTACTGTATATGTAGGATTACACATGTTCTTTTTTAAAAAAAAAATCTTTTAAAATCATCATCTAGAAATGTACAACGGCTAGGTAATTTTTGTTTTCAAAGTCTTAAGCCCATGGTAGTATGTAAGGGAGATATTCGTTAAAAACATATTCTACTACTCCGAAAGGTTGAGGCGAAATTAGAGATAGATAATTTTTCTAGAATTCTCCTTTTGAAATTGGTTATGTTACTGTTACCGCGAATGACCGAA